AACAAGTTATAACCCATCTGTTACTTGAAAATGTATTAATTTTGTCCAAACAAGTGTTTGCTATCATTTTAAAGATCAGACAGTTTGATAGAAAAAAACCATTTGGTTGATAGATTAAAATGAAGTTGATGTTTTCATGATAAAATTTGCAGACAGTTAAATATCTGCTAAAAAACAATAAGATTGAGGTGAACTTAAAGGACGACAACGGGAACACACCACTAGACATTTTAACGCAGAGTCGAAGAGACATGAATGATTTGGAAATTGGAGACTGTCTCCGTGATGCTGGAGGTTTAAGAGCCAAGGACATGATTTCATCATCCTACACCCAAAATGGAGCCAAATGTTCTAATTCTCATGTTGCTTTAGCCCACAAGCACAACATTTTAGGTGATTGGCTTTCAAGGAAACGTGATACAATAATGGTGGTTGCATCACTTATTGCAACTATGGCATTTCAAGCAGGAATGAACCCTCCAGGAGGCGTTTGGCAAGAAAATAAGGAATTGAATTCTCATGTAAACCCCTTACAAATACCACACAAAGCTGGGGAAGCAGTAATGGCATATACTCATCCCAAATCATATCGATACTTTATCCGTGTCAACACAACAGCATTTGTGGCTTCTCTTAGCACAATACTGCTGTTAATAAGTGGATTGCCCTTCAGGAAAAAGTTTTTTATGTGGGCTTTGATGGTTATTATGTGGTTGACAATCACCTCAATAGCACTCACTTATGGCATATCAATATACATCGTCACGCCTAAAAAAGATAGAGAACAACTTGGCCAGGTTATTGAAGTTGCTGTTACGGTGTGGAGCTGTGTAATGACATTACTTTTGCTTGGAAACACAATTCGTTTGGTTTATTTATGGATGATGAAAAAGAAGCAACAATCAAGAACATTCGAGACAAGAATATCTGGAAATTTGGTTCATGACAATGTTTGATCGGGATACTGCATTTAATCGATCAATTGCTTTCATCACTTTGAAGTATTTTTTTTTTGTATACATGTGATTTTGTGTTAGCAATTTTTAGCTTTTGATTGCACATGTTAATTCGAAGATGGGTGAAATACGGAAGTTTCTGAAATAAAATATGTTATTTGTTATAAAATAAGTAGCTAATAAAATAATAATAATAAATTAAAATAAAAACAAATAAAGAGAGAATATAATAATGTATGCTAAATTTTTCTATCTAGTTTTGTGAATAACACTTTGACCATTCATAAGCTATCTATTTGGTCAAATAATTGCAACTCAAACATGAATGATCCCACGTGTCATTGTATATTAATAAAACAAAGAATTACCACATAACATCCATTTGATTTTACAATATTATTTTATTTCAAACATAGTCCCAACTTTTATGAAAAGAATTCTCCTTGGACCTTGGAAAATAAATAATCACATCAATTACTCCATCTCTTTTTAGATGGTTGTTTTTACTTTTTATAAAATAAAGGAAAAGATGTCAAATATGCCCCTAAACTAGTCGAAAAGGTCTAGATATACTCTCCGTTTAAATTTTGGTTCACTCATGCTTTCGCTGTCCAACTTTTGGTCCAAATATGCCCTTATGGGCGTTAGTTGTCATGTTGGACATATCCAACTCATTTTTCATTTCTTTAAATGCCACATGGAATTGATATGTCATTTTTGGCCTTATCAGATAACATTTATATGAAATTGAAAGATATTTGGATACATAAACATCTAATCCGACCCATAAATCAGCTCCTTTTAAATTCACTATTCGATCCATTTTTGACAATTTTGTTTAATTTTTATTATTGCGATAAATCCCGAAAATGAGTAATTGATTAATAAAAAATAAAAAAAATATAAAATTAATTCAAAAAATTCACAAATAAATATAGTAACCTTAAATCTAACATTCCAATTTTTTTTTAGATTTTTTAGTTTTCGATAAATCTCGAAATTGAGTAATTGATTAATAAAAAATATGAAAAGTATGAAAAAAAATATAAATTAACACCAAAAGTTCACAAATAAATATAGTAACATTTCAATCTACAATTTTTTTAAAATTTTTATATTTTTTGGCAAATCCTGAAAATGAGTAATTTTGTAATAAAAAGGACAACATGAAAACAAAATAAAAAAATATACGTCAAAATTCACAAATAAATATAGTTAACTTAAATTCAATAATTTCAACAATTTTTTTATATTATATATTCTTTTCGTATTTTCCTATTTTTTATTTCTGAATTTTTTGCGTAATTTTTATATTTTTTGTTAATAAACTCATTTTTGGGATTTGTCAAGAATATTGAAATTGTTGAATTTAAGGTTACTGTATTTATTTTTTAATTTTTGCGTTAATATTATTTTTTTCATACTTTTTATTAATCAATTACTCATTTCGGTATTTATCAAAAAAGTGTTTAAATTAAATTTAAGGTTACTATAATTATTTATGAATTTTTGGCGTTAATTTTATATTTTTTTTCATATTTTCCTATTTTTTTTATTTAACAATTACTCATTTTAGAAATTTATCAAGAAAAAACAAATTTTTTAAAAATTGGTCGGATAATTTATTTAAAAAGGGTTGATTTATGGTTTGGATTAGGTGTTTATGAGTCCGAATATCTTTCCATTTTCATATAAATGTTATGTGGTAAGGCCAAAATGACATGGCAATTCCATGTGGCATTAAAAGAAATAAAAAATGAGTTGGATATGTCCAACATGGCAACTAAGGTCCATAAGGGCATATTTGGACCAAAAGTTGGATGGCGAGGCATCAGTGAACCAAACTTTAAACGGGGTATATCTAGACCTTATTGAATAGTTTAGGGGCATATTTAACCCTTTTTCCTAAAATAAATAATATTATTCTTTCAAATAATAATTTAGATATTGTATTAATTTTTTTGAAAATATTCTACCCACCCTATATAATCCTTCACTTTCAATACTTATTTTTCCATTTTGTATTATATATATACCAGATACAATAAATTCGTATGAATACATGTCAAATAATTATTATTTTATTTATTTATTTATATGTATGATTTATAATATTTTTAACATAATTTTTAAATAATTTATATTACTTTTTTTTGTCTCATATTTATGGTACATGTAAAATATTCAAAGTTGATCATTTTTTTCTAAATTATTAGTGTTAATTTAAATTTATGATTATTTGAATTTTAAATTAATTTTTTTTAAATGAAAGTGAAGCAAAAAAATACATACTTGAAAAGAGAAGTGAAAATTTTGTTAGAGAAAAGACACTACACACTTGTTGTTTAATGAAGAGAACCATCAAATTAGATACAGTAGCATATGAAGATTTAGTTTCCGTCTTTTATAAAATTCTAAACTTTACCCTAAGTATCTAAACCAAGTTCCTCTCTCGGTAATTTCGAAATTAATCTCAAGCTGCTCTAATTCATATGGTGCATTGACGGATTTGTCGGAATCTTCTATCATATGGTGAAGAGTGTGGAAGACTAGTTGTTATATGTTTATTCAAGGAACAATATATATTTAATATTTAGTAGTCTATTCGTTTTATATTAATTAAAAAAATATTTATATTATTTTTTATTTTTAAAAATAAAATTTAATTATTTAATTTTTAAGACTATTTTTAAAAAATACTTTTTTAATTTTATCCTTTATTTGAATTTTTAGTGAAAGTACTTTGTTTGGAAGTTAATTAATAGAACACATAAAATATAATTTAATAGAACATATTAAATTGCCTATTTACTATTTGTGCAAGCAAATAATACGTACAAAGGGGTCCAAAAAACTTTTGGTTTTCTATATGTTCTTTACAATTTGCACCCACCGTGATTGTATTTGAACTCGTTAACAACATATTTGGCGTAATTAAACTTGGGCAAATTATCTTTTTTGTATTGTAAGATAAAACTTGAATGGAACTCTTGATTCATACATGAAGACAAGGTTTTTGTGTCATAAAGATATAATAATAAAATATATTAATGACATGATCAAATTAATTTAATTTAACTTAAAAAATCAATTAAATTGACTTTAAGAAGTAGTTGTCAAAATACTTAATACTCCAAATATTTAAAAATATAGTTATGAATTTATTATTTACACAAAATACCGAAAGTAAACTTTGAATAAAAAGGATGTAATAATTTTAAAAATCAAATATCATAATTACCATACTGAGATTTCAAATGCCGTATCAACCAAAACTTTAAAAAATCAAACCATAGTTGACAAAATAATTTTTAAAATCAATAATCGATATGATAATTCTTAAAGTCAAATATTTGATATAATAGTTTTTAAAATTAAATATCAAAATTACCATACTGAGTATTTGATATAATAATTTTAAAAATCAAATTACTTGATATAATTTAAAATTGAATACTATCAAAATTACCATACTAAAATTTCAAATACTCTCCCATACATGCCCCCCCACCCCACCCCCCACCTATACAACAATGTCATCTATGATGAGGTCAAGATTCATGGAGGTACGTTCAACGAAGGGGTTCATTTTAACTCCTTTCGTCCGAGGTCGCGTGTTTAAATTCTTATTTATAAGCTTATATTCTACTAATTTGATTTCTAATTATAAAAGCAAATATTTAAAAACTCTTTTTCTTCATGATTCAACCATCTAATTTGACCTATTTATATCTGGTTTAATCCATTTATTTATGGGTATTATTTATGTAATTAATATTTTTTAAATCTTGTGCCCTCCGCCACTGAATTATGCATGTATACATGAAGAGAATAAAGAAAATATTGGTTCTTATTCTTTCGACAATTTGTAGCTTCCTTATCTTCTCCACTTTTTACCGCAAAGATACTAATTTATGAAGTTGTAGAGAATTTTGATAACACAAAACTCTAAAAAAGATAAGTAATTTAGTAAAAAAAACTATCAACCAGATTAAAGTAAATGGCTTTTCGTGAAACAGTTATAACACACAATCAAGGAGATGAGGCAAAAAGTAATTAAAATTCGATTCTTTATCAAACAAGATACATGCATTAAAATTTGTATTTTGTTAATCCTTGGATGCATCAAAATATGGTAATCTAGAGCAGCAATTGCTTTATTACATCAAAACAGAGCAAGAAAACAGAGTAACTTTATATTTTCAAGCAACTTTGACCTGAATGGTTTTGGACTTCTTTGGCTCAGGAGGAGGCAGCTTCTGAACAGTAACAGTCAGAACTCCATCTTGACAAACTGCAGAAATTGCATCAGTATTCGCATTCTCCGGCAGACTAAACTTCCTCATGAATTTCCCAACCCTTCTCTCCATTCTAATAAACTTTACACCTTCTTTCTCTTCTTCCCTCTTCCTTTCACCACTAATCAACAGCACATTGTCTTCTTCTACCTGCACTTTGATATCTCCAGATTTCAACCCTGGCATATCCACAACGAAAACATATGAATCAGGATACTCTTTCACGTCCACTGGTGTCGCAGCCATTGCCTTAGCATCACGAACATACTTCTTTGATGGTGCATTCACGGAATCTTCACCAGCAGCTTCCATCATATGCTGAAGAGTGTGGAAGAGTGGTGTGTTATCAATACCCATCAACCTCAAATCCATTCTTCTATCGTGTTTGAAATTGGATTTTTATTCTGTCTGATTACAGGGGATGTTGAGAGGTGTTTATATAACACAAGTGTGGAAAATTCTAGAGGAAGATAGAAACAGGAGGAAGTTTCGAGGAGCTTCTTTCTTTTCATCGCCTTGTTTCGATAATTGTCTAGAACATTCCTGACTTAATAATAAAAATTTGTTTTCAAATATTATCTTGAGAAACAAGAAACAAGGTAAAAAATTATCAATGTATGTTTTAGACAAAAATTATGAAATAAAAGAATGGGAAAATACCCAAGTAACCCCTCAACCTATGTCCGAAATCTCAAAGACACACTTATACTATAGTAAGATCCTATTACCCTCTGAACTTATTTTATATGTAATTTTCTATCCCTTTTTAGCCTACGTGGCACTAGTTCGGAAAAAAAAGTCAATTATCGTTGGGTTCACAAGATAGTGCCACATAAGCTAAAAAGGGTAAAAATTATTAATAAAATAAGTTCACGAGGGTAATAGGACCTTAGTATAGTATAAGTGTGTCTCTGAGATTTCGAGCATAGGTTGAGGGGATACTTAGGCATTATCGCTAAAAAAAAATAATAAAAAAAGTTGACATGTCTAAAGTTTAGGAGAAAGTGTTGCTGCTTTGATTTTGAACAAGAAAAAATAAAGAAAAAGAAATACATCTGTTTTTAAGAAATATTCGAAAAAAATATATTACTTTATCTTATTGTTTGTGAATTTATCATGCTAAATAAAAATATGGTTAAATTCATGATCTACTTTTTAATTTTTGAATATATAAATATAAGATGACATTAATGATATAATAAATATTAAATTTGTGGAGAATATTTTGTTCTTATCAAATTTGGAGAATAATTTTTAAAAATTTGTTAATTTTACCGGTTATAATACTTATTAATATATTGTAATCTTGATTTTTAAAAATTAAATAGGACACATGTCTTTCATATAGAAGCGCACCTAACAAAATGGAGGAAAAGTGTAACGGAGGGAGCCAAATTCGAGATTTAAAAGCGTAGATATGTCTTACCTCGTTTAACTTTTAAAAATAATAATTTAAACCACTTCTACTCTGTCATGTCCTATTTGACGCATTCTATCCTCAGAATTGCAGTTGTCATTGTTTGTTGATCCCAATGATGTATTAAGAGTGACAAATTGACAAGTTGGGGTTAAATTTGGACAGATCAAAATGGTTCAAGACAATAAATGGGTCAAGACCTAATTCAATTTAAATTTGTCTGATTTAGAATAGGTTGGGCCAAAACGGGTTAAGTAGCGGGTCATAGTTCAACCCGCGCAATTTTTACTAAGGGTCTATTTGGAAAGCCACATGTTAATTGAAATTGGTGTAATTACTAAGATAGTAATTACACAATCTAGTAATTACACTACCTATTTGACAATCATAGTGTAATTACATATGTCTTGTTTGGATGTCACAATGTAATTACACATGTTGTCTTTGATACACAATTGCAACTTTAAAATTATATTAAATTTTAAAAATAAAAATAAACTATTTAAAATTTATAATATACAAATAAGAAACTTTATGAATAATATTAAATTAAATTTTCGGAGATATATTCTTTTTTGAAAATATATTACTTAATAAACATATGTTAACTAATATTATGAAAAAATTATTAATTTATAGTTTTTCACATAAACATATTTCAATTGAATTAATCATAAAACCTAAAAGTATGAAGTTTCTATAAACATTGTGAAATGCATGTTTGATTATAAATAATATATCATAAATTAGTAAATATTCAATAAAAAGATAATTTATCAAGTCTAATAAAAAAAGATGACTAGCAATACTAATCAAATGAAACTAAAAATATAACATAAATTATTTATTCAAAAAAAAAAAAAATTTAGCATAATATTCTTATAGCAAATTTCAACATAGCATACGTAAATATGATTTATTTATTATGCTAATGAGAAAATAAGTATGACATATAATAAATAGATAATATGAAAAATAGCAAATTTGAGAACGAGAAGAAAATAAAATATAATAATATAAAATAAAAATAAACTTGTAGAACTTTTTACAATATAATAAAACTAAAATAGAACGTAACATAATAGAAGTGAAAAAAGATTAAATACAAAAATAAAAATAGAATTAAAAAAAGAAATTTAAAAGCCCCTGCCTGTAAATTGGAGAGTGTAATTATCCTTAATCAATTACATCAATTACCTGCTGACCAAGTAATTACCTTATCCAACCAAATAGAACAAACATTGTAATTACACAAATTACATCAAATCCAATTATCAGGATGTACTTCCAAACAGTCTCTAAGTTTTAATACCCTGTTTGTTATTTTATAAGTTAGTACCTCATAATTTTTTTTAATTATAACTATATATAACATTTAAAATCAAAAAAATATTTTGATAAGATTTCTCAAAAATCAATTTAGGTTATATATCAACCTAAATTTTTAATAGGTTGAATTGAAATGTATTGAGCTAACAAATGGACGAATCAATAATTAATCCGAACCTATACCTATATATATATATATATATATATATATATATAAATGAGGACCACAGACAAGACAATGTGACACCTCTCTATGGCCTCCATTCCTTTTTTTCTTTTTTTTCCCCTATTTTTTGACATTTTTTCTTCTTTCTTTTCATAAAATAATTTATTTATTAATTAAAAAAATTCAAGCAAATTTATTATTGTAATTATATATAATGAGTTACAAAAAAACCTCCATTTGTTGATATTCTCACTTAAATAGCATATCTTTTCAATTTCTTTCTAACTGTTTTTATGGCTTATCTAATCTATAAATACCTATCATCTATAGAGATGTTGAATGTTCATTTTCATTTTTCCATTCTTTCTTTTTTGTCACGACCCAAATCCGGGCCGCGACTGGCACCCACACTTACCCTCCTATGTGAGCGAACCAACCAATCTAGACCTTAACATTTCAAGGTAATATCAACATAAAGTAATGCGGAAGACTTAAACTCATTAATAAAATCAATAACTATTATTATTATTATTCCCAAAATCTGGAAGTCATCACCACAAGAACATCTACTTTAAACTACTAATTCTGAGAGTTTCTAAGAAGCTAAAAATACATACGAAGCTAGTCCATGCCGGAAGTTCAAGGCATCAAGACTTGAAGAAGAAGATCCAGTCCAAGCTAGAAGCATTAGCTCACCCTGAATTTCCGATGTAGTAAGACTGGCTTGAGTTACTGTTGAGTCGAAGATGACGGTACGTTTGCTGCACTCCACAAATAAACAAGAAGAAGACAATAAAAGTAGGGGTCAGTACAAAACACGGGTACTGAGTAGATATCATCGGCCAACTCAAAATAGAAAACAGTATGTATTAAGCAATATCATAAAATCAACTAATATCCTTAGCATGCAGCATTTACAGTTACCATAACCCTTGGTTACAACACCAAACACATCAATGAGGACTCACACCTCCTCATCATACTCATTTGGAAATTTAGTTCATTAGATTGGATATATTAACGTATTTCAAGATTCATTATCTTTATTCCCCTCGTGTCGGTACGTGACACTCCGCTCCTCAATATACTATCCTGGTGTCGGAACGTGACACTCCGATCCTCATTCTATCCTGGTACCGGAACGTGGCACCCGATCCATATTCTATCCTGGTGTCGGAACGTGACACTCCGATCCTCATATACTATCCTGGTACCGGAACGTGGCACCCGATCCATATTCTATCCTGGTGTCGAAACGTGACACCCGATCCTCATATACTATCCTGGTACCGAAACGTGGCACCCGATCCATATTCTATCCTGGTGTCGGAACGTGACACCCGATCCATATTCTATCCTGGTACCGGAACGTGGCACCCAATCCTCATATACTATCCTGGTACCGGAACGTGGCACCCGATCCCCCAATCTCACTACTTTCATTCATCAAGCCTTCTTTTATACCAAGGCATCATCATTAACAAAGTAGATTAGGGTTTCTTTTCAAGATTTGGGATTCAATAGCTGCATCATGCTTATTTATTCATAATTACATAATCACATCATTCATGCAGGCATACAATTAATCATATAGAAGGGTTTACAATACTACTAACACATATCATTCACTATTAAGAGTTTACTACGAATAGCATGAAAACCATAACCTACCTCCACCGAAGAATTGAAATCAAGCAAGTTAATCCTCAAAGCTTGGTGCTTTCCTCTTCTCTCGATCGTTTCTCTCTCTCCCTTCTTGTTCTTTCTGTTTTCTTATTCAAACCCTCTTTCTTTTACCCAAATTAGTATATAATTAAGAATAAAAGATGGCAATAATACCCCACTAATTAACTTAAGGTTACCTCTTTTAACCCCCAAGAATTTGAGTTATTAATATAAACCCACGAAATATATAATTATAGCAGGAATAGTCCAAAACGCCCCTTTAAAACTTAACCAGAAATCCGACTCCAACTGGGATTATGCAAACTGTGACGGGCCGTCGCGCCTGCGACGGTCCGTCCTGCTGTCCGTCGCATAGTTCAGAAACTTGATTTTGGGTGAATGGCCTGTGACGGTCCGTCCTGCCACTCCGTTACGAAGTTCAGAGAGTCGATTTTCAGTACCCAATTTCAGATTTTCTAAGTGTTTTGAAACGAGACCCTGCGATGGTCCGTCGTGCCCTTGACGGTCCGTCGTGGGGTCCGTCGCTTCTGCCAGTTTTTCCAGAATTGAAGTCTGTTGCTCAAAACGACTAAACAGGTTTTTACAATAGATATCAATTTACCCATCGTTCGTCCCCGAACGATCACAAGAAGGAAAACAAGGGAGAAAAGGAGTACTTGAATCTTTAAACAGATGTGGATATCTTTCTCGCATATCCGCCTCCTTCTCCCAAGTGGCTTCAACGGGTCGATTCTTCCATTGTACCTTGATGGATGCAATCTCTCTTGACCTCAACTTGCGAACTTCTCTATCTAAAATAGCAATAGGCTCC